ATGAACCCCTAGATATAAAACTACTTTTATCCCAGTTCGCCCCGATTATGTTTCTAGGTTTGTCAGTACCATACCTGTGCTCGTGGGTTTCACCAAAGTGGTAAACGTCTAAGACCTGCATCACTTCGGGCTTTCCTCCCACAGTAAGCTGACACGCCGTGATATAAATGGAATACTGTTAAAAGTGGTGTTAAGCACAACTCACTCACTCACTCACTCTTGCAGACTATACTCATCCCCTTCTCAGTTTTCATGTACTGGGGAAAATCGAAAAGTTAGTCTCCTCATATTGTTTGGTGTTATGGTCCTAACTCCTGCAGGAAGAATATTGTATCTTGGGTTGAGTGAGTGAGATGGTTTTACGCTATGGGCTTCACATATTCTACTTGGTGGGAATTGAACTCTGGCATTGGGCATGACGACCGCTTTAACCAGTGGGCTAGCCCCCTTTAACTCTTGGAAGACGCAACAAGTCATAGACCTGCATCTGATAACTGATGTTTAAAGGCTTTCCTATCAAGGAAAACAGGGTCCACGTGGATTTCAATGTCTACATTCTTTCATCCGTTCTATATTCGTTCGGCACAGGTTGTATACGTGTGATACATCGGATCATGTGTGATGTAACATGAATCAAAGAGGAACATGAAGAGTATGGTTTAGCGCCGGTTTTAGATATATTCAAGTAATAAGTATCACGGCAGGAAGATCAGAAGTAGGCTTCACACATTTGTATGGGGAATCGTACCCTTCCGCGCGGCAAACGAAAGCTTTAAACCACTAAAACCACCGACCCGGGAACATAATATAATGAATAGTATCTTTACATTTATCATGTATCAGAGAGATTTGAATGGCAGAAGTGATTAACGTTATCCATGAAGAGCTTCGATCCCTACTGCATGGTCAAACGTATGGGGCCATCCGTGTGGTGCTACGGCTTGAGTGAGTGAGTAATCTGGCTGGTTTGAACAGTGTTTCAGTTTAATCCCAGCATTATATTACAGTTACATGTTGTAGAAAAGCCCGAAGTGATGCAGCTCTATACAATGTATCTCTTTGGAGAGACTCGGGGTCGCGGGTAATAGTGCTAAGAAACTAAGGATCATAATCAAGGCGGATCTTGGATTCGGACCCACGATCAACGGATCCTGGCACAGCTAAGGGACGTAACACGTCCCTAGACCAGTATTGGATCATGGTGGTAATGAATCATCAGCTCCGATGCCTGTTAATAGATCACTGTCTCACTTTTGAGTGAGTGAGTGATTTAAAGTTTAACGTCGCATCGGCATTTTCAGATATACAGCATCGAGAACAAGTTGATATATACACAGGTGAGTCATGAATACAAAGTTATATTAAAAACAAATTTGTCAGACATATATTTGGGTACAACAATATTATTTATACAGTTTATCACTTTTGAGAATAGTTGAGCTCCAGTCATGGTGTTGATATCAACAATGCTTAAATTTAGGGTAGATTGGCGTGAAAATCAACCTTTTCTCTAGTTTGAAGATATATATCGTAGGCAGTTTGGCAAGGTATAGGTTTTAACAGGGAGTATGGCAGGGTATAGGTTTTAACAGGGAGTATATGTCTTATATATTCCCCGTTAAAACCTATACCCTGCCAAACTGCCTAAGATACATAAGCTATAGTGGCATTTACAGACAGGAAGGACCCTTCCAATCCCTATGATGGCCTGATAATGATCTGTTTGGAACATTTCGGGCGTGTTAACTGATTGATAGTAGCATGGTCATCTTGAGTATTAGAGTCATTAAAAACATCAACCAGGTCACACGCTCAGATTGCGACCTTTAATATTTCAAAACACTCATGCATCCTCCATCGACAATACTTCACGGGCTTGTGTGTTCAAGTTCTTCCATCACCGAGGCCCGTATACCGCACCAGACAAAAAGTGTGTATGGATTTGGATCCTTTACGTTGCGGATACAGACATCATGGCGCAAGACACCAACCGACGCCACACTTCGGGCCATGTCTATAACGTGGCTATTGAATGAGCAGGAACGTACTCGCCTAGCACATGATTTGTTTGTTTGTTGTTTAACGCCGCACTCAGCAATATTCCAGCTATATGGCGGCGGTCTGTAAAAAATCGAGTTTTGAGCAGACAATCCAGAGATTGATACCACGAGTATCGATCCACGCAGTTGGGATCGATGACATGCATCAACCAAGTCAGCGAGCCTGACCATCCAATCCCGTTAGTCGCCTCTTACGACAAGCATAGTCGCCTCTTATGACCAGCATGTTTTGCTGAAGACCTATTCTACCACGGATCTTCACGGGTACAATCAACCAGGTAACACTTTGTAACACCCGACTGGTCATTAATCAATTCTTATAGGCATTGTGTGCATTCCAAATTACAACCCACAGTTATAGTACAATGCAACATTCATCACAAAAAGCCTTTATTTCTGTGGTGCTAACGTCAAGATAGTCGTCCAGGATCTGGAGACCCATAAGGAGACCCACATTGCTTGGTGTAATTGTCCCAACTCCCGCAGGAATATATAGAATACTAAACGAGCTCCCGTGTAATACCAATTTTATGAAAAGAGTGAATAGTTCTGGTATCTGACGAGCGAAAGAGCCCAGAGACTCTTCATTTTCAGATACTGCAGTAATCTAGACTTCCCAAACATTATAGACTTGCATTGGCTGTATTTGATATATTTGTATCAGGGTCTGCAAAACAGACTAATTCCCCTCGTCAAACGGAATGAACTCCCCAAAGCACCCATTAGAGGGGATAATATCCATCCATGTCCTGCGGTAGTGTGGAGATTGGCATGGTAAAGAATGTTAGTGTCTTGTTAGTTTGTCCTCAATATTTGTGTTAAAAGCCCCATAGCAACTTATGATCAGTGGCTGTCTTGGTGTTTAAGCTGGTGACTACATATGCTATCCAGGGGAGCTTCAATACTTCTGTTAATTCTAATAAAATCATTAAAATTACGTTTTTCTTTCCCTTTAATGACGGAGATGTTACTTTTTCACATTTTGATACTTTTCTAGAATTTCAAGTTTGGATAACAATAATGACGCCTTTGGGCAACTTTCTCTCTGTGAAGCTTGTACCTGCAGCTTCAACCTAACCTATTTCATGTTCCTGAATCATACAAGAGCAGACATTGGATTTAGATTAACCCAAACATAATTTCCAGTGGTTTAAATAGGGAAATATGCTGATATTTGTGTATCTAAACATTACACACGGATTATCTCAGATGGTTTACGTCCGCTTCCTAAGGCTCATGGAAGAAAGTGTGTTTGAAAATTGTTGACGGATATTGTTTCTGATTTTTCTTAGGCAGATAAAACTCTGTCCCTCGATTTGGTTAAATGTGTAAACACTGGGGTGAGTGATGAAAGGTTGTTCAATTGTCTGCATGCTGCACATGGTCGTTTTCTCGGAGACTGTCGTAAATTTCTTTTTATACCGCTATACGATTGTTTCACTTTAGGATACCCCGAGTTTTTGTATGTTTTTTCTTCTGGATTTCTGGAATTTATATGTGTAGGATAAAGCAAGTCCGAGGGTTTTATGATATTTAAAACCCGCATCTGCGGGACAAAACCGAAGGGCGTTAAGCCCCAGGTTTTAGCCCAAGGATAAGGGTTTTATATATCCTAAATACCCGAGGGGAAGTGTTTTATCTAACTTATAAACCGAAAAAAATAAATTAAAACATCAACATTTTTATGTTCCAAATATGCTTTCCATGAACATTGGGAAACGGGCGTAAAATATCTGTAACTGGCGTACGGTACTTGAAAAAGACATTCTTAAAAGCATTGTTTGTTTGTTTGTTGTTTAACGCTGCACTCAGCAATATTCAAGCTATATGACGGCGGTCTGTAGATAAGCGAGTCTGGACCAGACAATCCAGTAATTGACATCATGAGCATCGATCCATGCAATTAGGATCGATGACATGCATCAACCAAGTCAGCGAGCCTGACCACCCGATCCCGTTAGTCGCCTCATACAAGCATAGTCGCCTTCACGAGCTTGTCACTGCTTCCCCGAGGTTTCATTGTCAATCAATACCGAGGAGGAGTATTTTATCCGCCTTCTGATCCCTCGAAACAACATGTTTATTAATATGTTTAATATTATGCATAAAAGTGCTGTGCAACAGTTTAAAGAAACGCTCGTAAAATATATCTAGTTACAGCATATTCCCTGAACGTGCCTTCTAATGTGAGTGAGTGAGTTTTGGTTTTACGCCGCTTTTAGCAATATTCCAGCAATATCACGGCGGGGGACACCAGAAATGGGCTTCACACATTGTACCCATGTCGGGAATCGAACCCGGGTCTTCGGCGTGACAAGCGAACGCTTTAACCACTAGGCTACCCGACCGCCCCTGCCTTCTAATGAACAATATTTGCAACCAGTTCTGTAGTCTCATGGTTTAATACAGTGCCTGACTACTGATCAGAAGGTTGTTGGTTCGGTTTCTGTCATCCATAATGATTTCTTGTCTTTGACTTTGGAACTATGGACGTTTGAAACAAAAAGTCCAAACTTCACCAGCTTCTCAACTCTTCAGGTCTTAACAGGAGAAATTAAACCATCATACCTATGATGAGGTCTTACAAAGAAAAAGTAAAACTTCATTAGAGGTTATTGCAAATAAATAAATAAAATAATGGTCACTATCTGTGAAAGGTTAATAAGAAGGATGAAATATTCCTCCTAGGTTTTGTTTGAAAATGTAAAACCTCGAGCTCCAGAATCAAGACTTTTCTGTCACTCACACTTTAACATTTTCAACCAAAAACTGGAGTAGTGTTTAATCCTTGACTCATCATTTACAGGTCACACTGACAATAGTGAATAGTGCTAAAATATTGTTGACAGCAGGATAACAGCATTCACTCACTTTTCTCAGCTAACAACATGATGGGATGCTTCTCAATGTAAGGTAACAAAGAAGAACCATTTACTCTCCTCATGTATTTATACTTTATTGCATCACAACAGTTATTGAGGAGTGACAGTTCCAATGATACACAAATGTTGTCATATTCGCCCTGGAGATGTGTCGACAACAGCACCACTGATCACACAAGCACAATGATACACACACATCCTTGTCTCTCACACTAATTAATGGTAGATAACGTGCATGACCATAATGAGGCTCAGATCATAGAAAATAAACTTTGTACTAATCTAGATAACAAATCTACAACAAAAATATCATACATCAATTTCATAATCATGGCTTACAGCCATTTTTTTAACATGCGATTTATGAAAACTTATATCATTGCATTACATTAAATAGACATGAATGATGTCATTGAATATTTCAGATATTGCCTCAATATCTTTGTACCACATGAGTCTGTGAAATACCCCAGTTCTGAAGGACCAGAATTTGTTCAGGGCATTTCTTGTGAGGGAAAGGGAAACAGATGCCACAAATAGGCCATTGAAAACTAAACAACAAAGGTCTATAAATGGACAACAAACAAGTTCATGATTCCACGGCTAACTGAAGTAACCGTCCCATTTGATTTCTTTTGTATATAGTGTACTAAAACATCGCTCGAAAATGCAAAGAAATGATGACCTTTGACATTATCTGAGAAGCTTAAAACTTGCACAAAATGATGCCCCCTAACTTGCAATCACCTTGACAGCCATTTTATCAGAATGACAAGATTTTCACTATTTTTGGACTTTTTGGTCGATTACTAAATTAAGCACCTACAACAATCACTATCTCAAAGCAAATTCCTGCAAAAATGGAGAAGTTTGTTAGATTTAATAGAAACAATAAATAGGACTATTTCCTTGAAAAGCAGTTAATTAAATGCCTAATATATCCTGATCAGTTTCAAACAGCATGCAGAAACTGGAAAAATAAAATAAAAAAAATATTAAAAAATTAAAAAAATTAAAAAACACCCCAAAACAACCCACCATTGTGGAGAAACTCACCAAGTCAAGGTGTGATTTCAAGTTTGAGTGTATCAGTTTATGTGGTAAGCTGTCCTGGTTGTTGCCAATATTAAAGCAGCTGATACTTATTGGTAAATGCAAAAGGTGCAGTTTACTTTGCAGAAACGACATCTGATTTGTCTATTCAAAAAGTGTGTATGACTGTCACCCAAAAGTATAACAATTGTATGAAATAAATACAATCCAACTTGTCAATGGTGTTTGAAAATAACAACTATCTGATAGCTAACTTTGAAAGCATAATTCATAATGTGATAGCAAATTGAAAACAAACATAATGGTACTAGTGATGACTGATAATGATCTGAATAGAAAGACAGCCTGTTAATGATGTAGAGAACATTTGATTACACACTTCAGGAAACATTATCATACTGAAAAATGATTATGTAAATTGAACTGTTGTTGCCTGTGGGTAAAAATACATTACTCATAACATACTCATAACACATGTCATAAACACATCTAACACCATGATCAGTGAATAAGATTGAAGGCATAAATATGGCAAAAAGCCAAATAACCATACTGAACATTATGTATAATCACAAACCTATCACTTACACTGACAATTGTTCAAAGATTGGGATACACTTATCACATCATTGTCATGGATTTTGGAGATCACTTTAGAAATTTTGGTAGCAAGTCAGCTTTAATGAATAATATTAGAAAACAGTCATGATGGATGAGTCATACCTTTGTTATACACCTACAGAGGAATTCAGTTGGATGCAGAATGTATCTTCTATTTTTTAAATGTTAGAACACTACAGAAACACCATTAATGAGTATTTTTCATAATAAATCAAACTATCTTATCACTATACTTGTGTTTTGGCAAAAGAGACAGACATGAAGAACATCATCACAATCAAGTAATGCCTACAAATGATACTAATCATACTAGCTTTGTCAAATTGAAATTTCAACTATACGACTTCTACAAACAAAGGTAATCTAGAAAACACTGCTACCATGTGTATAAATTCATTCTCTTTCTTAACACCTTTCATCCATGAAACTGATGGGAGCATATGAACAAGATGAAACATTCAATATGAAAATACAGGTCTAAACAACAGATAAAAAATTGTAAATCTGTTTAACTATGGAAGAGATAGGAAGGACAAAAGTCGCTAGAAAAGGTAAAGATTAAACTACACTGAATGCCAAGACAACTTTTTTTGTGTTATTTGATAAGTCTGATAACGAAGCACAAACAGTCTTCAAATTAATAAGTTATATTCGCAATCTACAAAATCTGAACCAAACTAAGTCCATAGTTCATAAAGATAACATATTGTAAAATCTGTGTATAATCACATGCTCTTCATGAAGTCAACAAACCTTGTTTCCTATTTTTCAAGAAATTGGCTTTTCCATGACAAGAAAAGACCTCCTTTTGTGTCAGTAATTATCCCTGCTTATCTCCCCTTCCCTTATCCATTTCGATATTCAGAGGAAACTCAAGCACTGTATTAGGGATTATATGAACAAGGCTGTTACAGGGTACAGACATGAAATAACTAGAATATAGATAACTACTATCTATTTACTTTGCCATTTCAATCCAGACATGCTTTAATATCTGTATTAATGAATTGTTTTCTTTTCTTCCAGATGATAATGGTGAGCAAAACATACATTATGAATGTTGACTATCAACATGCACACAAGACAGCAGTGAGAGAATTTATCACATTTCAACACACAGATATTTGACAATATCTCACAAATATCACATGAACTATGATTGACACAAAACATGCATAAATCACTGAATAAATATGTCCAGATATCACTTGATGAAATGCTAATAAATGACAGCCTCTCTCATGAACGGTTGAATATGAATTACAAATTGCAAGACTCGTCATTCAAAAAAGCTAAATTAAGAGTCATAAGAACTTTCTCCTCTTGGCATTCAATGCTGTTTAAACTGTACCGAAATAATATTCAGCTCTAGACATATAGGATGAGTTGTAAATGATTTAAAAGATGAAAGAGTATCAACAAGGTTATTAAACGACACTTTACAGTTATTTACAAATGTTCGCTATTGTACATCTGTACAACTCTCTTTACATTATCAGCCCCTCTTGTATCCTGTACAGTATGTTCAAGCGACTAGAATAAAATTCCTCACAAATATTACTAGAGATCTCTTATATACATACATTCTACCTACAACCACTGAAATTGATATATATGTAACATAAAACAACAACAGTCACAGAACAAGAAAGAAAACATTAATGGCTGCCTTTCTCTTATATTATAATATGGATGGACCACATTATAACAAAATAAATCTGAAAAAATAGGCACAGATGTGTTCTCATTATAGTATCACACCCTCTTTTGAGGATTTCATTTTCTACCCGTATAACAAGGACATGCAAGATATCGGTAGTCAAAACACTTGGGCTGGTACTCGAGTAGTAACAAAGTAAACTGAATGAGTCTGAAACAAATACTTTCCATGCACATACAAACAGCAAGAAAATACACATACAAGAATAAAAGTGTAAATACGGGCAATAATGTTTACTTTCTGTATTAGTTGTCTGATAATGAAAATATTTTCAGAGGAACACAGGTAAATGTCAGTGTAATGTTACCAGCTTCAAATTTAATTACAAACTGAACAATTTGTATGCAATTTGAATTTAATTCTTCAACTAATACATTCATCACATGATCTATGAATAAACTTGTTCATGAATAGTGAGTTTGAATCTTATTTTATGTAACAGTTTCAACACCCAAGTGTTTTGACCAGAAACATCTCTTGATTCCCGCTACAGGCATGAAGCGCACTACTATGACCCATTGCTACTGGAGGTAAAAGGGGGCATTCCGGAAGTAAATCCAAATCCCTGGGCAGGGGGCCGAATGGCGGGAACCCCTCTGGAATGTGGTAGCGTGGCGACGAAATGTGGGTCCTGCTTGTTAGCAAAGTCTGTCATGTTAGCTTGAGCACTTGTGGGAAACTTCCCAACTGGGTTTGCAATGTTCACTGTCTGTATAAATGGGGCCTGGGCAACTGGTCCTGGGAATCCATTTTGGTAATTGACATTAGTGCTGGACACTGCAGCCTGAGGCCAAGGTGGTCGTGCACCGGATAGCTGAGAGGGGATGATAGTTTGTGAGTGGATTGGCTGTTGTTGTGGCAAGTTTGAATGAGGAAGGACATGTGATGAGTCTATATGCAGCTGCCCCACTGAAGATGGGCTTGCTATTGCCTGTCCTTTTGGAGTCTGCTGAGACATTGCTAATTGTTGAGAAAGTGCTGAATAAGGCAGGTTTCCATGATAACCAGCATGTGCCACACCCTGAGAATTTTGGAAGCCCCGTTGAGGGGCAATCGTTGTCCGATTTGGTAGAGTGGTACCAATGTTCTGAGCACTGACTGTAGTATTCTGGAAACCAGGCGCCAATTGTGAAATGTTTGTAGACTGCCCAGCTCCAGAACTATTACCAGAAGTCACAGCGCCATTGAATGGAACGGTCACAGATTGGTTCTGGGAATATGACACACCAGCCTGAAGCCTACTCAATATAGCATTATTGGCAGATACTGTTGTAGAAGGAGTAAAACCAGCATTTCCTCCAGTTGTGAGATTCCGAGACAAAGCATACAGTCCTTCTTGAAGAAGATCTGGTGGGACAGATTCCCCTGCAAAACTTGCTTCCACAGCATTATTCTGCATACCATGAGCCAATATAGTCTCTGCAATTGTCTGCAAACTGAGTTCATCAGTAATTTCACCTTTCACTAATTTCTCAAGTGTGTCTTTGGCTGAATACACATCTTTTGTTGCTGCAGCAAGTGCTCGCTCTAGCTCCTCAGTTTCTTGCAATGTGGGAACAAAATCACCATTTTTACCTGAAATTTAAATAAAACCTTGTTAATCAAATCACCTGTACTCAAAATGATAACCTAAATGTTTTATTCTATTACAAAACAGATATTTACTATCTGTGAAAATAAAGCATCATGTGTTATTAAACTATAAATTTTAAAGTAGAAACTAACAAACCTGAGAAAATATCAAAAGCTTCATCTGGAATTTTGTTGAACACATCCTGAAAGTCCTGTTCTTCTAGAAGCCTGGAGGCCTGCTCCAGAGGCAATTCAAAGGTCTTGTCAATATCTGAAAACACATAACGCAATTAGGACTGAGTGAGTGATCATAGTTTAACACTGCATGAGAAATCTTCCAGCAATTTGCAGCTGCAATTAGGCAGGCACAAAAAAAAAAGCACAAACAAAAGCCAAATTTTTTTTTCCAAGAATGTATTATTTAGAGTTAAAATATCATTTATACTTATCCTGACTCTTACACATGAGTATAAGTATGAGTTAGCATGAGATAAAATTATAATTCGTGGGGAGTTTACCACTTGAAATTATATGGTTCCTTTTTATAAAGGCTTAGACCTTACAATAAATAGATAGCATACTTATACAATGTTTTGAGTCAGAACTGCATTCAAAATACCTTCTTAATCAGTACCAAAAGTGTGTATCAATTATGTCATAATCATGAGACACAAGAAAGTTTTTCGGTTACTTGTTAAAGCTTATGATAAAAGACAAAACATTGTTTAGCTAAGCAATGAAAATGCCTTGAGAATAAACAGTTGATTTGGATATGCTTCATAATAATTGACACATACTATCGGTTAAATACTTTTGATTATCAAGCTAAAATCTTACTCTACTCACAATGTTTGCAATCTAAACTATTGACAGCTATTGACCAAATGTAAATGACATCTCACATAAACATAAAAAATCAATATTTGCATGCAAGTTAATCAAACTGAACCCAAACTGCCTTTATACTGTTGCTACTTATCATATAGAAGCATTAAATGAATAGCAGGGGGTACAATTATATTGAGAACAATTTAGAACATTTCATTGAATCTTCAGGTTGATATAAAAATATCATCACAATAAATATCAATGCTTCCTGGCAAACATGGATAACCCATTATCAATTGTTTTATTTTTTTCATAATTTTTATAGTCTTCCAAAGTTAATGTTTCTGAAAAAAAAAAGGAATATGATTGATTCTTCACCTTCTATCCTCCCAGATGCTGGCAACATTTCTTCAAGCGGCACATTGCTGAGAGCACCCTCAGGTTCCATTTCCTCTTTGTCTTCCTCATCATCATCCTCTTCCTCCTCCTCATCGTCTTCCTCCTTGTCCTCATCATTCTTTTGTGCTTCCTCCGAGTCTTCTGTCTCCATCTTCTCAGCCACTTGTGCTGGCCCCGATGAAGACGATTCTGTGATAGAGTGGTCCATTGATGTAGATGTTGATGCTGAGTGTTCTTCATCCTTCTCACCATCAGAGCTATCCTCTTCCTCTTTCTCTGAAGCAGCCATTACAGCGGCTGCTACTACAGCTGCTGGAAACAAAGAATTTCAAAAAATCATGTGAAAAGGGAACATTAATTTATTAGAAGTCAAATGTTAAGGGCTCTGGGCCTGGTTTCACAAAGTGCTCATAGGGTTATAACCATTTAAGTCAATATATAGTAGTGACAAGCACCTTGTCAGTAAACATGAGGGATCTGACCCAGAGCCTGCTGTAGGTCATATTTTAAGTATTCTACTTGGATTCATAATTTGTGGTATTCAAATAGTGACTTTAACTGTAGTATCCAAACAAAGTGCCCATAATTAGATATTGGCAATCAGCTATGTTGGCATCTGTTTGACCTCTTGTTACAGTCAGCAGTTTTAGTTTCTAGTCTGCAGCCAGAGTATAGTAACATCAGCTTATACTAATTTTTATACACAGATCAGAATCCCACTGATATTTGTCACAGACTACTTTCATAACATTGTAACTACGTCTTCATGGGACACTTCTGAATTTTTAATCATTTTGAGTATTGATTTCATTCAATAACCACAGACTGAATATGTTTAAACAAACATTTTCCTACCAAATGCACCCGGATCTCCCGTTGGCTCTGCAGGTGGAATGGGCTTCTGTGGACGGATATATCGATTCTTCTTTTTCTTCTTTCCCTTCTTTGGTGGTCTTGTAAGTGCTGGAGGTTTCGTTTTCTTCCGAGGACGTTTCTTGATGTCGATATCTCCTGATTTCTGGTGATTATCCTTAGGGTTAAAATCATTATTATCAGAAAAAAGCTATGCATTCTAATTCCTCTTCTTCTTAAATATGTTATTACAGGTTGACAAAACTCTTAAATTAGGGAAAGGCATTTATTGACTAATGTCAACAAATTAACATCTATAACAGTAATTACGATGGCACAAACACAAAGATATCACCAAAATGAAACAAAAAAAGTGACCAAAATAAATCTGTAATATTGTTCATCATATTGAATGTGCACTGCCATATTGCACCTGAAAGAATTCCTGAAGACATCTACGACTGTTCATGTACTATCACCATAATATTAACCATCAAGTAGACGAAACATTGAACTTTGCATGATATTGAATGATTGAGGTTTTACACCACATTAATCATTACAATGAGCATGTGGCTGATAACATTTAGTGAGTAGCAATGAATCCCAATGAGTGCAATGACATATTGTCATGTAACCAACAGTACTACAGTTGTGCCTCGTTTATACGGACACTTGCGTCATTACGCAATTCGTCCGTATAAACGAATTTCCGTATAACTGAAACCAGCTTCTTACTGGAAGAGTTACTTCCCTTCAATTATGCAACTTATGACTGATGACAGAGCAAACAGATACATCCACTCAATATTTATTCATACACGTTTCAAAAAGTCTGTCATGGAAGTTTGAACTGTCACCAATTGTCGATTTTCCTATGGTATGTCCAAATGCAGTGCCATAATGCTTACTGATGGTTTCTAAACTTGCTGACGGGTGTTTTTCTTTAAACAGACAAATTTCCCTTTTTTTCGCGTGCTGTAACTGCGTGTCGCTTACGTTTCGCTGGTTGACAGGCCATCCTTACACGACTTTGACCTCTGACCTCCACAGACGCCATATTTATCATAGGGGATTACATGTACAATAAACAAGCTCGTCTCAAACGTAACTCAGTGTCACTGGAATTCAGAGTAGCCTACATTACCCCAAAAAAGAAGAAGTTACTTACAACTTTTGCTCCATGTTCAGTACAGAGAGGCAACCCATGCCTGATGTCAAAGACTGGAACACAGCACTGTGTGTTATCTGCAAACTTGGCTGTGCAGTAATCAAACAGCTGCTGGTCAACATTGTACATGATATCTTGACTTGGTAAAGGAAGACATAGACTTGTGTATATGGATGATTAATTGGTAAATGGTAAATTGACTCAGGACATATTTTAATTGTATGTCAACATAAATGTCAAAACATATTCATGTGTCAGTTGAACTCAGCCACATATATATATATATATACATGATACTAAACAAAATGTTTTAACCACTCATCTGCATGCCATATGGAAGAATACTTGCGAACAATACTGAAATCAACTGAATGTTCCTTACCTTTGTATCAACATGGTATTATCTAGATAAAAAGTCCAAGCTGAATAATTTCACTGTTGTAGTAAGTCAGGGCTGGGTTGTCTTTTCATTAGTAAATGATGTATTGTTTTACTCCTGATAAAAGCATTAATATTCCAGCAAAATAATGATGCTGGTGATCACCTATCAAGCGAAATTATTTTGCTGCTTACAAGCATTTCAATCCTAGACTTCAGTCAGCTTTAATGAGGAAGGAGTGATTATGCTTGTCTGTGGTTCAAACCCACTATCACCAAACCATAGCACAGTTGGTATGTTACTGTCAGCACAATCTGGGAGGAAATCATAAAGTGGTGTAGTTAGCAGATGTTAGCAGAAAGCCATGAGACAAGCCAAGGATAATAACCAGGGTCAATCCTGGCACAGCAAAGGGAGACAACACAGCAAACTGTGGTACCTTAGTCTGCTTAGCTACCCATGTCCTAAACAGTACAAGTATATGAATGTATATCGCTCTGTATAAGCACATCAATAATTGAGATTGCTCAATAATCCATCGTAATCGCTTATCTTCTCCATATGAAACAAATATGTCTGATGTTTACCAAACACAATACAATCAGGTGATTTCCAGCATCAACTGACCAAAATAATAAGTAACATTCAATGAAACTATCCAGAACAACAAAGATATGCATAGTTTTTAGTTATGGACAAAACAAGCTCTGTTTACCAATGGCTGTGGCACGAGATTACAAATGTCTATCACTGCACTCTTCATCACTGTTTGCCACCTGATATTTACACATTTATTACGTCATGGAATTTCCAGGTTCAGCCAATCACTGATTAATAGTGAGTGAGTTAAAATTTAACGTCGCACGTATTATTTCAACCATATAGCGACGAGACCAAGCTAATATATATACAATTAAGTCATTTATGCAATGACATATTTAAAAACACTTTATCAAACATATTGGAGCATACTATATTTAAAAACAATTGATGAAACATATGAGCATTACAATATCATTAATACAGTTTAAAAAACAGGCTATAGGCCACCAGTAACCAAAGCTAGGCCACCTCGCTGATTAATAAAAACAGAAGCCCTTGTTTAAACAGTTGATTAATAGTGGGTACTTGTGCTTCAAAATACAATGCTATTAAACATGGGTGGAGTTAATTTATTGAATTAACAGGAAATCCAACTATATGACAAATGTGTGCTTAATACAATAAAACTATTCAAGTAACTGACACTAACATCTTTAAGAGTTGATGTAATTAATAGGCTTTATATATTCAGATTTGCACTGAGCGTCGCATTGATATTGAGTCGCATATTTGTCTAGGGGTCAGCAGTCATATTAATTTGGAGATGCATTAATTGGGAGATTTACAGTATATGATCAATCGCTCCAGCACTGTATCAGAACATAACTATGGTACTGAAACTGCATGAAACTGATGAAAGGATACGCTTTAGACAGTGGTTTGTGTAAGGTAAAGCCCTCTGAAGACATTTGTCATCTTCATCATTCCTGTATAGGCAGGGTCTACGATCAAGACCTCTCCGTTTATATCTGAAAATAAATAAAAGATCATATTAATCATTGGTCAAAATGACATATAATCTTGAGAGACTAAGTACTTCATGCAATATTGCACAATGTTGCAGCCACAGAGGATATATCAAATGCAAATCACTGACTATTTAACATAAGTGTGTACCACTGATGTACCTCCATTAAAAAGTGTTACAATAAGAAAGAATATTTAGAAGCACAATAACTTATTCGTTGAAGATGCTTCGAAAGTGTTGTCTTTTTATTCCACATAATCTAACATGTCTAACTTTAAACTTTCAATATTTTTTTATTAAACAAAACAAATACAAACCTGTCTGCCTGCTTCTGTGGAATTTTGAGTATTTCCCACAAAGTTTTCACAGTTGAGACAGGACTATCACGAGCACCTTTGATTAGAGCTAGAGTAGCTTCATTATCATAGGTCTGTAATGATGTGTTGGTACAAGTTGCCTTCCTTGACTGATAGCACTGACGACGCAGCTTTGCTCGCAATAAAGTCAATTTGGTTGCCCGCACATGGATTGGTAGTTCACCCATTTGCCTGTAAAGAAGTAATGCATCAAAAACATATTAATAATCTTCCGAAGGATGACTACTCATGGTCCTTTCCTAGGAGTAGGTGTGACATTAGTAACAGACCATGTATACTGGGTTTCAAGAATGATCATGACTGAATCCCTGAATCACTCAATTCTTACGGGGGGGGGGGGGGGGGGGAAAGGGTATCTGACAAAATATACAACAGAATACACTGCCATTTGAGACCCTAAGTTCAGGTGATCTACGAACTGCCGACTTACGTATATAACACAGATGTAATGTACACGGCTAGGGCGAATAAGCGGATACAACAAACTGTTAAAAAATCCCCGATTTATCTCCTATGTATTATCATTAAAAATTTACGTACATAACAAACTCTCTACAGTGAAGTAACATATATTGCGAACTGATATCTAATCCCCAACAAGCCCAAATACCACTAATAAATGACGTGTATAGCGAACTGAGAAATCTCACTCAGTGTCACTGACAATTAACTGTACACAATCAGCGGCGAATCAACAAAATCACTGGGGACAATTCAACCTTGTTAAACTTGCATTATGTTAGTTGATCTTACTTGTCCATGTAATTGGACTAATCTTGTCTGTAAAACAAATTTTGTTCATACATGTCAATGCAGCAATTACAGTGTCTCCTCGCTATTGCGCTCTTCAATATAGCGTGGTTAAGCATGTCTCTCAAAATTTACACTTTTAATAAACCTAAGTTTTCTAATGACATGATGTCTTCCCCATCTCAATAAACATTATCAGCTGATCATTCATGTTTACACTTATTTCGGTGAAATTGTGTGTGAAGTGAAGTGACCTTACTCACCGTTATTTCCGGTAACCACGGTCAGTTTACCGCTATTGACGTCTTGAAGCTAACTTTAGTTGCAAGAGAATGGATACATATACCCTAAATGCCATACTTTGACTCGTTAAAAGTCATATTTGAGGCAGTTTGACTATAAATGTCAACATAACGTTTTCACAATTGAAATACATTTAGCGCGGGAAGTCCCCATGGTGACTGGTCAAATTGTTCCATACATAAAAATATCCGGCAATAGTAATCACCTGTACCAAAGTTCTATGCTTATGGTTCGTATGATTTTAAAAATATATAGTGAAAGCTGCAACTAAAATAACATGATATTGGAATATATTATTCCTGATAAAGTAATAATTTCAGACACAATTTCTTCCGACTATTGTATCAAACTTTTTGAAGTTGTATCCTTGGGAACTTTTTAACTGAATCACAGGTAGATGCGGGAGGAAACATGTATAAACGTTTACAATGTATGGGTATTGTGTTTTGTTTTAGCCAAGATGGAAGACATTTCCGAGCAAAAACATATTACATGAACAACGTATATAACGCAGTGATTTCTCCGGCCCTCAGTAGTTCCTTATATCCATGTTCTACTGTATGTCATATTCAGCATATTAACTTCCTAGACCCTGTAGTATCTAATTTTTTTCTGGATAAATGGGCCTTTAAACCATCTACAAATTATTTCCAAACCCTTATCTTGCAGTGTCCTATTAATACAGCGGTGAGTGATTTCCTCATATACCTGCTTTTATGACAGACACTTAGATTAAATAATTTAGATTTTCAATATACCTCTTTCTGAAAAGACATTAACGCTCTTGGTAATTAGCAGCTGACATATATAAGAGCAATATGGATACACTTGATGGATATAGTCTAACTCTTTATTATTGCAGTATCGGTAAATCTCGTAATCCACAAGTCTCAGTTGACTGTTTACATATGCAAATCTATGCATATTTCATCACATGATCGAATACATAACTCACTACAGAATGTCAGGGCTATGTAAGTAAACATGTTAAGTTCTTGATAATAGTTTCTGGATTGTTTTTGAAGTGACATTACCCTCTGTTCAAAACAGAACCCGTTTGTTTCAACAGTGTCTGTTGACCCAAACCTGAGTCATATGCATAATGATGATCAGGACGCGATGTAAAGCACATATTCCACATGTATCATACCTAAAAATAGCAATGCCACGATAACATAAAGTTGCCACCCTTGAATCGCTAATGGCTGATGCTTTGTTTACCGATCTCGCTAAAGAAAATCAGCATCAATCAATTCTTACTGATGTGTCACAAAAGTTCAACAAAAAACAAGAAACAATTTGAAAATGACATATTTCAAAGGTTAGGAAGCATATGCCATTATGATTCCTTATAAATAACTACCGTGATAATATAGCGTACCATCACCTACATCCTTTCGAAGTAAACCGTATAACATCAAACATGTGCCAAGATGTAAAGTGTTACCGTATTTTCTTGAGTATAGTGTGCACTTTTTTTCTCCAAAAAACACAGCTGTGTAGAAGGGGGAGCGCATTATACACGAATTAATGAGTTTTGATGTTTGATGGTACTCACAGAACACATGAAATTAAAGCACAGGCAAATTGGGACAAACAGGTCATAACAACAGGAGTTTTTTATAGTAAATTATACTTACTCTTCTTCATTATCATCATCAGAAGATGCAGAGAACCATCCAGGTTGCCAAGGCAACATCCCAACATTTTCATCATCACTATCATCTTCAGATGAGCTGCACAATCCTACAAATCAACATACGACATTAATGAATCTGTCTCGTGCAACATATAAAAAATGGACTTTTTGAATAGTGCATTGGTCTTTCATACTGTATGAGAAAAAGAGAAATGATGAAAAATGTAAAAGACTATCCAGCGGTAGAAACTAACATTTTTAGTCTGCTGGTCCTAATAATGATAACATATAGCAAAACACTTACAAATAGCAAATTTCTACTAGTCCTTATGATACCTTCACTATTGGGCAATTCGGCAAGGACTACAGGACTAGAGCCAAATTCTAACGCTGCTATCAAACGTCTTTGAGAAAAAGAAAATCCTGATAAGTCTGCTGATTGCACCTTACTAAATGTTAAAAAATCCTGAAAAAAGTCTACCTGTAATCTTATATTAACTGTACATTAATAATTTTTTAGCCTTCTCAAATCTTAACTGATAGTGTTGTTCGTTTGATGATGCAATATTCCAGCTAAATAACAGCCTGTAAAGTGTCAACCATTAATTAAATCTGGACCAGAATTCATGAGTAATATCCTATCTATTTGTATCATTTTAGGCAGCATCTAACACAAGTGCTCATACAAGGACAGTTATTAGCTGAGCTTAATAGACAGAAAGAAATAATCCTATTTTGGACTTGTGACTGACATGACCTAGTTTCTATGGATGTGACCTTGAACTTTCATAGACATTATCAGTCTTTCCAAATGGGAAAACCCAAGTTTTAATGATGTCTCATTGCCGTTATGACGTTCTTGATGATGTGATCTTGACGAAAAACATGGGAAATATATTGAATAATCCTACATTAAGTGATTTTATACTGCAGTATTGATTTCTATTTCTACTGCTACTCGAATCAAATGATCAAAGGTGCTGTTCTGGTGATGGTTGTTCAGACAACCAGGAATCTTTCTAGGTTTTCTCAGATGCCAATAAACAGACCCATTTCTAAATGTTTAGCTTTGCAAAGGTGACTTGTATGTCAATAATAAAAGGACCATAATAATTTAGAGAACAAGGCTTTTAACAAGATAACATAAACAGAGCCTATCATATCATAGTTAACAAATATCATGCCCAAACAAGTGTCATGTTTTATTGACTGTTTCATCTTGTGGTGCCAAAAATTAATTGCCCATAAGACTCGGATCATTAATCGATTTTAATGTGGCAATATTTTCTCTCATTAGAATGGTTTTTAATGAGAACATCAAATTTCACAACCAAACCTTGACATTTTAGGCTAGTGGATAAAAAGGAAAAAAACATCTCAACTATTCAGCACTCACAAACCTAATGATAACAGGCAGAAGAACTAAAATCCACACAAATTTCCCAGTTCCACCTCTGTCCACTTGCAACACCTAACAGGCTGATAGAGCAAGTAATCATGGTTATCTCCCCTGAAGACATTTATTATTTGTATATTACTCAGGGGTATATGACTTTGACTTACATCTTGAGATTCTGAACACTGACAGTCACTTCAACAAAATATAACTACAAATCTGCCATTCCTCTCAAAAAGTTCAGTTTTCGCATTCATCACATTCATTGGAACATATAAGTAATGTAACCATGCCCTCAAGATTAAAATGTATGATGGCAGGGATTGTTTGAACTTGAAGGTACTTGATTTAACTTGCACCAGGTGCATGTTGACATAAAAATCTAGTTGCACAAGACAAAACCAGGTTGCAACCTGGTCCCATAAAGTTACCAAAGTTGAAACAGAGATGCATAAACGAGACTACATAAAATCTCACATCTCTGATGTTTGTGTCATGATGTTACATAAATCAATGATATAATACAGTATTGCTGGAAAACACAGTATGAACATGTGCATAAAGGTGCCCACAGTTTGATGATGTCAGGAAAGCATGACAAATTACACATAACACAGGGATCTAGCATGACAAATAAAGCTTAGCAGTATTGAGTGTGTTTTACATGTTTAAAGATCGATGTTGCATGGAAAGGGAAGAGTTAGTGAGGCACAAATTTGAATTCTTTTTTTTTTACAAGCACAAGGTGCATGTTGACATTAATATTAGGTTGCACTTTTCAATAATAGTCTGCACTGGTGTATGTATTATATTGCAAATAGGGCCATGGATGGTATCCTATAAAACATTGACTTCAACGAACTCTAAACCAAAATATGGCATAGTTCAATCACATAGCCAAAATTTCCTATTTCATCAGCAGTAATGAATCATATAGCGACAGCTTGACCTAAGAGCATGGCTAATGCAATAAACTAGTGAATGGATATAAACTGTTATGGTTATGCATGTCATTTGTTGCCATGGTTACCTCTCCTGAATCATGCAATTACTGCATATATCATGATAATGAAACTGAAGGTCAACCTGCAAAATTTTAAGTATGACCACAAAATGGGCATACTATCCACAATAAATTAACATTTCGCACACAAAAAGGTATCATAATGTGTAGACTTCGAACAGGGGCAATACTAAAATTTCCTACTTGCCAAAGGGCAGTAAACATAAAAATTCTCCTCGTCAAGACTTACTTGCCCTGCTAAATCAGAGAAAAGAAAAAAGCTTTAATTTTAACAACAAAACTTCATAACTGCAGCAAAAGCTAATGGGAGATGTGAAGAATAGGATAATGACTAATCAGGTACTTTTTCTGCAGTTGGCAAACACATGAAGCATCTTTTAAGTTTTAAAGTTCAAAATGCTGATTTCCATACTTGCCCGAGGGCAACTAAATATTATAATATATATTTTTATATTTTCCCACATGCCTGACACTTCATTTTCTTGAGACAGGTAAGTTGGGCATACTAATAAAGATATATATCTGCACAGCTGGGTACATGGCTGAAGCAGGAGAGCCAACTTGAGTTGTCAGTATCATTGTATGAATGCAAATCACTACATACCTACTTTGAACATGGATACCTTTCCTTCGTTAAGAGTGATCATCCGACTAGTTTATCACACACTGACAAAACTAAACAACAAATGTAACACATCATTGGTATAAAATAAAATTTACTTACCTGAGCTGACTAAATGATGGTTGTACTTTTTCCGCTTTGCGTAACAAGCATAGAAGTTCATAGCAGAGTTCGTTTTTAACTTAGTTCTTTCAACTTTTTCAACAATAACATCTTTTAATCGCTGAGGTTTTGTAGATAATACTGGTACACTAGAATTCATTGACACAGTTGGTGGTCTTGGCGGTGCCACATATGGGGGAGGGGGAGGTAAGCGGGGCTCTGGGATTGGTGCCGGAGGCATCACCGTTGAAGTCTGTGGTACTGGTACCGGTACGGGTACGGGTACTGGTATGGGTACAGGTACAGGTACGGGTACAGGTACGGGTACAGACACGGGTACAGGTATAGGTACCGGTGCAGGCGCTGGCTGTTGTTGTACAACTGTTGGAATCGGCAACATTGCCGGTGGTGGTGGTGGTGGTGGTGGTGGTGCTGGTAACCGATTTGTCGGACCAGGATATGGAGGTGGTAATATTTGAGGTGAAAGTCTTGCAGCCAGAGCCGATACTGAATAATTAACCTCTGACAATCCTACAGTATTTGTTGGTAGGGCATGATGGGTAATGGGTGGCTTGAGTGGAGGATGAGGAGGAGCACCTTCGAGTCTCATGAGAGGGGGAGGATTGACTTGCTGTCCTGTGTTTAAATTCACTGGAGGCTGACTTGCAACGGGAGTAGGATCTGGACTTGGTAATGACACAGGGCTCACTGAAGGATTCGAGCCTGACTCCTGAGATTTTCGTAGTTTGTCCTTGATCTTATTTTGTGCAATTTTGGTTTGCAATTTGTTCATTGTTCTAGAACTTCGTATTCGCCCTTTAACTTTGGGCTCAACTTTAGGTTTGATCTTTTCCAGTTTCTCTGCAAGTTCTGGGTAGAGTTTAGCAATAGTAGACCCCCCATCACCTGGTGATTTTGCCCTATTAGGGCTTGGTTGAGGCTGTTTGGGTACCTCAAGAATCTGTGACGGCTGTGGGTTGACATTGTTGACAACCGGCGTATCCCGCACTGGATCAGGAAATGCGTATGGATCATCAGGGTCATCCATAGACAGTTGTTTCGTTGAAACATCATTTTTGATTTTAGTGATGTACTTAGACTTGACTCTGTCTTCAAATGATAGTCTGTTGTCATGATGAACAACATTAACCTCTTTTTCTTTCTTTGGCTTGCGCTCTTTTCTTGGAAGCATACCAAGCACCTGCATGTGATTGTTGCAGTATCTGAAAGATAAATATTATACACACATTTAAGATCCTGTATTGACAGTTTGTTTGTTGTTTAAATCTACACTCAGCAATATTCCAGCTATACTAGGCGGCCTGTAAATAATCAAGTCTGGACCAGACAACCCAGTGATTGACATCATGAGCATTGATCCACGCAATTTGGATCGATGGTATGCAGCAACCAAGTCAGCAAACCTGACCACCCAATCCCATTAGTCGCCTCAGCGTCACCTTTTACGGCAAACATGGGTTGCTGAAGACCTATTCTACCCCATATCTTCTAAGGTGTATTTACAGGTATTGCCAGTTTGTTTGTTTTTTAATACTGCACTCAGCATTATTCCAGCTATATGAGGGCGGTCAGTAAAAAATCAAGTCTAGACCAGACAATCCAGTGATTGACATGATGAGCATCCACACAATTGGGATATGACATGCATCAACCAAGTCAGCAAGCCTGACCACCTGATCCTGTTAGTCACCTCTTACGACAAGCATGGGTTGCTGAAGACATATTCTACACAGGATCTTCAAGGGTCTATTGACAATGACAGTACTCACAGCAGAATATTGTGCATAAAGTACTAATATTCACATGTTCATTATCGTGAAAACATTGTTAAAAAAATGTAATAGGACCAATAGGCACCAAGAACTGATTTAAACCTTGTGATCAGCCCTTACAAGGAATTTCGGACCCTATAAGAGTTGATATTATTATCTTGCCCTCGATCAATATTCTCCCACTAGGCACACAGTATTTCCAAGGTGCATAACTAAACACCTTTATTCATGTCCATTGGCACGCTTGAAACAAAATACATGTTTATCCATCTTACTAACCACGATCCTACTCCTAGTGCTGACCCTCATCTATGGCAAACACCTACTTCACCATTTGAAATTGACATATTTATATGTACTAAAGACCCCAAACAATACAAACATAATAAAACTGTTGTCACTCACAATCTTTCCTCATGTTTCGGAATTGGTTGGGTACACATCTGATTGCTTGACTTGGCCACATATGCACATCTTTTGAATGGTGCAGTTGGATCCTCAAGGATATGCCTCACACAAAAGGCGTAGCCATTTAGTCTTCTCTGATTGCATAGTTTGGCACTGAAGGAACATAATGGTTTGTTGTCAACTGCAGAATAGTGGATATTCTTGCCTTCATACATCGCATGCAAGGACAGACACATCGGTTAGACTTGCTGAAGGCCTTTACCAAGCCCTCCTGAAAAACAAACAAGAAAAGGTTTCAGCATTATTATGTCATATTGATGACCATGACAATGACATTTATAATAATATAAATGTGTCAATCATATAAAAAGAAAAAGACACACTATTCCCTTAAAGTCTGATGACTGCAACATATTTGTTCTTATTTCTCATTTGTGTATACATTGTGTAATTCTCTATATAGGCAGTACATGTTACAAAACAATGCATGGTTCATTAACAATCATTATACCAGATATATACTTGTTTTGAGTTTCCATTCAATATTAAATGATGACATCAACATCTACTAGTGAAACCAGTAGGATTGGTGGCTATGAATGTTTGTTTGTTTGTTTGTTTGTTGTTTAGGCCTCACTCAAGAATATTCTAGCTATATGACGGCAGTCAGTAAATTATCAAGTCAGGACCAGACAAACCAGTGATGACATCATGAGCATCGATCTACACAATTGGTATACGATGACATGCATAAGCCTAGTCACTGAGCCTGACCACCCGATCCTGTTAGTCGCCTCTAACAAGCATAGTCGCCTCCTACAGCAAGCATGGGTTGCTGAAGACCTATTCTTTAACCAGATATTCATGGGGTCTGTCTGAGTGAGTGAGTGAGTGAGTGAGTGAGTGAGTGAGAGAGAGTTAATACAGCTTCCAGGTGAACTACTTTCAGACAATTGGCAGTCCCAGCAAGTTTCAAGATGTTTAAACAATACATGAATTAGTTATTGGAAGCCTTATTTTCAAAGAGGCAGATATCTAAAACTAGAAACAGGAATCAAGAGTGGAGCATTGTCCCTAGTTAACACTGCACCATCATGCAGGTCTGTACCCAGGTAGTGTTTTCCTAATAGATTCTCGATTCAGAACATACAGCACAAACAACCCTGCCAAAATGTACATGAATCTTAATCCCATGAAAACTGCAACATGATTCACCTCCAAAACTTGCCTTCAAATATGTGTCATCCTCATTCTCAATCATCCAACTTTCTATGTACTTATCCGGCTGGAATAGGGTTTTGAGATTTGGTCGTCATTGCTGAGCTCCATGGCAGACAAAAAATCTCTACCCTCTTTCCAACTCAATAAGAATATATATTGTTGCACATTCTAAAATATAATAAAGTACTTGTATTTGAAGGCAAGTGTCTATGGAAGTGAATCGTGTTACATTTATCATGAGGTGACACATGCACTTTGTTGAAGCATTTATAAAGTGTGATGCAGATTTTGATCAGAAACCTATTTGGAAAACACTATCAGCGTTAAAAATTGGCATTAGTCCTATAGTTCTATAACCGTTAAAAGGGGGCAAATGTCTACTAATCCTTATGATACCTTAACTATTGGGCAGTTTGGCAAGGACTACAGGACTAGTGCCAATTTCTAACGCTGTTTTGTATCATTTTCATGACTTCTTAGTGGCAAAATTGGACTATTATTTGTCAAATGTCTTAAATAGAAATCTTATTAGACTGCGACTCGGTTTAATGATTAAGATGGTTTAAGTCTCAGATTGTCCACACTTTATCATATGTTTATCAACTGGCTAATTTCATTTCAACACAAAACATTACAGGGCTGTGTTCAAAATTAAGGGGGGTCCTGGGGCCCTTAAAGTCTCCATACATGGTATTTAATTCTAGGGACACCTAAAACATGAGGCTTATGACAAGGACCTGTGATTTCATGCCATAATTCGAACACTGTAGGGTATACAAAAGCATCAAATTAATTATATCTTAATTTTTGGGGAAAGTTTCGGAACCATTGAATCATTAAGTCATCATATTCACTAAATGGCACACATATTTCCTGTCAAGTAGGCTAAGCATTCACATATTTATATTATCAAGTATAGAATTAACACTGTGGACTTTTCCTGCACTCATGTCTGCTTAAGTCAAATTTGGAATTAATGATTGGAGAAAGTACATCATTCAATTCATTAACATGTCATTTTGCAACTTACCATACTATGACATTGCTAATTTGCTATAGTTGTACGAGTTGCAAAAGGAATGATTATGTTACATACTAGTTATTTGATAATAAAAGATAGCATTGTGAGTTGATCATATCATGAAAATACAAATGCAGTCACTAACAAATTGAATTTTATGTGAAACTTACATCATTAGGGGAAGAACTTCAATCAAACTCTGTGACATATACTAATATTTAGCAGCTCAAAATGACAAATTAAACCTCTACAATATATTCCCCATCAATCTACATTATGTTAGGGACAACTGATAATGACATGGTTGAACTCGAAATGTATTAAATCATGTTCATACATAACCTGAAAGTTTACAGAATCGTTGGTCTTGTATCTACATTATTTGTAATATCAATACGAACACAATCATGTGAACTACAAGTCTCATGTTAAAATATTGATTTTATCAATGTTTATATAAAAGGTTACACATATCATCAGAGTATACAGAGTTTTAATTTTCAAGGATTGAAAGTCAAGGAGTCCTTGACATACACTAATGTCAATAATTAAAGATTCAGGGCGTCCCAAAATTCAGATACTGTCTCCTCATGATCCGAACAATGACAGTAAGTTGATATAGAAAAACACTGTCATACTGACAGACACATTTCAATACTTAAAATTCTGAACATAACCCAACAAGTGACTAAAGAGTGAAACAGGTTTTAAATACAATAACTTGACTCTATTCTATTCACTGCATAGACAATAGTTACCTACAGATCAGTCTTCATACAACCATTAGAGTGCAAAGATAAGATATTATCGCTGGTCAATAGAAATCTGAATCAAATCAGTTCAACTACCTTAACTGTTAAAAGTTTCATATGAAGAAATGTAAGACCTGATAGCTCAGGTTTGTATAGTAAACATCACTGGAAAATGCTAAATTATGATTCATAGTACCAGTAGCAATTAACAAATTTTGAAGATTTTCCTACATATCATAGCACTTGTGACCAAAAATTCTTAGTTTTGAATGGTAGCAAAGGAGGTAGATCTACAAAAGGCCTACAATTCTGAGCAATATGTATTTCTGAAACCAGACCGATGTTTCTACTCTTTCCAGATTTATTTTTATTCATATTAATCTAACCTCTACAGAAGAAATGTTAATATGTAAGAAGACATCCTGTCTAATCATGCCAATAACATATATCTCACTCAACATAATCTGAACAAAACATTCATAATATGAAAGATGAGACTACACCTCACATATTGTCTAGTCCTACTGCATAATGAAACCTGTCTTACTCAATATGTGTAAATTTGAATATAGGTTCAATCAAATGTACAAATGTGTGTATACCGAAGAATATATGTTATATTGAACAATATCCATCATCAAACACCAGAAATTTCCTCCAGAAGCATAGGCCTAATTAATATTATTTCCCAACTCGTTGGAAAACAATCCTGGAGACACTTCGCACTAAAATGAACTCTTCATTAATTAATATGAGGTTTGATGTCCCAATCAACATGACAACACTTTAATATGCAATATGTAAGGGTAATGTATAAATTTAAACAAGCAATTTGACCGATTAAGAGCATCTAATGAAGGATTCAAAAATTATTTTGACCAAAACGTTGGTATCCGAGGCATTTGTTGTCATAGTCAGGAACGCGGAAGTTGATATAGAAAGTTAACGTTTGCCTACCACAGGGCATAATTCCACTCATAAAATCTAAAACATTGAATGTTAGTAATAATTATTAAAGTATGTAATGACACCAGTTTGTAATCATTCAGTATCATTAGAAGAAATTGATGTTTTTTACCGAAAATCCGTACCCACAATCGATTCCAAAATTCAACCTTCCTAACGAGTTATTCCTCTATTGAAAGAAGTACATTTAATAACACTATGTTTATCTATATTTCCTGGTCGACAAAGAGGTTAAAATTGTACTTATGTAATTAAAAACAATAAAATATCGTCAAAAATGTTATTGAAAATATTGTTTGACAGCGCACGTTAAGACGTCATTTTCTCCCAAACAGGTGCCCGTTCAACACAAAAAGGTCATGTAATGATTTCTTGAATAGTCCGTGGACCCCAAAATATATCTTACCTTTACATATTTGACAAATCATGCCTGTAAATTCCAATTTAGACATTATTTTCCATTGCAAATGGCTGCCACAAAATGGCCGACCAAGAGGGCTGCGTGTGAAGTATGCAGATTATTTATTAACAGCGAACAAAGCCCTACAGTGGAGGTGATATGCGGTTCGCAGTATTTCTGTCCTGCTATCGCTCTACCATCTTGGTTTCTCTGGAGCGATTACTTGCCTCAATTGAAGCATATAACTCACAGATTGAGTTAAATCTATATAAAATATCAGAATAAAGCGATATATATTCTTAGAATTGGTTTAATCATGAGCGCGTATGTATACCATAGATCCTTCCGCAGAGAAAATGAAAATTTGGCTATCGCCATCGAAAGCTTCAGGACGCTACGAAATCACACTTACGGCCATGTTGTGACAAAACCAGACCATTATCAATGTCCCAAAACGAATTTTCGTCAGCCATAATTCACGTTAACTAAAACAACATGAGGTTGACTAGTCGTAAGTAGTGCCGGTACATGGAAGGCCAGCCCTTGAGCTACAGAGCGCAGACCCCACTCTATAACTCAACACTGATCAAATCTAAATATAGTAACATGGCCATGATCGGACACGTCTCATAAAACGCTTAATTTCACCTGTCTAGAAGCGTAGATGAATTTTCATACTCATACATATGATAGAATATGGAATGAATTTTAGCACTGTACCTTCTTATTTAAATAATATGAATGCATTTTAATTTATTGACACTTTGAAATACACCAAAACTAGGACATCAGTCTAGCGAGTGGCAATCGAAGCACAACATCCAGCCAAGTCATTTCATTGGCCAAAGTCACATAGTTTCACAATCTACGGGATCTGATTGGTTAATTTGTTCTGATTCAATGGCGGTAGAAATAAGTTTTGCGCGAGATGAGGGTTACAGAAGTGTCGCGATGCCTTTGAAGCCTTTGAAAACATATTACAACTGTAAGCATTGATAGTATACCATTAAGGTAGAATACTAGAGGATTTCATGAATAACTTTTAGTTATAATATGTTACATATGTACTTATCAATAAATAAAATATTACGCAGAAATCATAATAGATATGCATGGATACAGGTTTGTTTTTGCGTATACCAGTTGAAGACATTTATTCTATGAATACCGTTGTTACTGCAAACACACATGAAGAAATGGTCTGTTTATAATATATCTAAAATAACCGCTCATAGTTGATACCCAGATCTAGAAAAATTATTCTGTTTCTTTTGGTAAGCGTTTTGCGTCCACTATTCTTAACATGGAAGTGCATTTCGATCTAAATAATAATTTACTTTCACAAGTAAAATAATCAATGACAGTTTTCAATTGTTACGTCACTACTCGGACGGAATAAACAGTTAGGTTATGACAAATACTTTCTATTCAATCTAAACATCACAGTGGATAGAGATATTTCCTAACGAAATAAAAATGTTATTTTCACTTGTACAAATAACAGTTTATTAATTTACATCACGATTGCGTCATTCGACAATAATATGACGTCATTACAAAAAAATAGCCATAACCGGGATTTCGCCGGATTGCAGGATTACTTAGGAGATATACGCACTGTTTTTTCAAAGTAGAGCTAGGTTACCTGTAGATTTAACCCCGCTAAATTGAATTTGGAACAGAACGCGCTCGCCAGATACCAGAACTATTCATTTCTCTCAATTCATAAAATTGGTATTACAAGGGAGCTCGTTTAGTATTCTCTATTCATGCATCCTATTTTAGCAAACCCATGCACCTTAAATACTAACTGATGGCCGCGAAATTATTTGAACCTAACACACGAATGATAAATCTATTTATCAAAAATACTCGACGAAACCCGCAAAACACTCAATGTTTATGGACTTTAATAACTGAATCTTGTGGGTCAATAAAGGATGTCAAATCACAACAACATACACTCAAGAAATCCATCAGTGCAAAAATACAATTCATAATAAAAACCATCTTTCGTAAAACATACATGCACTGATATTTTTTCTCTCTTACAGCCCCAAGAGTGTTTTATTAAACAATCGTCCATTTCAATCTCATTTTATCGTGAAATATAAAATAGCTCCGTGGATAAATTGCAAAGAACGATGAAGAACGAAGCTGTTTTCTTTCGCGATAAAACAATGTTCTATCACGACGTCACTTCTGTATATTTGAACATGCGATCGTAACTTTAATGACGTCGTAAATTGGACGACGTTATTTTTTTTGAGGGAAGGGTCAAGAGAATTGTTCCCCATAGATGTAGCTGGACGATCATACCTAAAAAGGGGAGAGATATGACGATCGGTATTGGGATAAACTGTGTAGATAATCGACGTGAATAGTGTGAGAATACCAAACTTAACCCCCCTGTACATAAAATAGACTTGTCCGACATTGCCGAGGTCGGATTGCATTCAGGGAGTCATCATTATTTTAAATACGGGTAAATGTTTTAAAGCTTGTACATTTTATTGACATCCTTAAAAAGGCTGTACAAAATGTTGATATCTCATATAAGAAATAAAGTATTCGTTGTTGTTTATCGTACAATAAACCACTGCAGCCCCTCGTGGTGTATTCTCCCTGAAGTGTTTTATTGTACTATAAACAACGACCGCGAGTCGTTTATTTCTTAAATTAAAGACACCTTGTTCTTCATTGTTCTTTGCGATTTATCGCGCAGCTATCTTCTATATAAGCGTATAAATGTACGGATTCAGTTTCTAAAGCCTCTGCAAAACCCCACAGTTCCGAACCATAAGAGAGGGAAGGAGCTATTTTTGTATTAAAAAAGTGAACAAATATTTAAAAGCACAGTCGCTATAATGTTAAAAAAATTGTAAAATTCCAAATAATATCTTTTAGCTTGGATGTCTGCATATGTCGGTTCCATGATAACTTACTTTAAAAGGAATCAAGATAATGCGCTACCACCGATTACATTAATATAGTGTCTTGATGACTAGTAAGCCTTTTAGGGACACTTCTATTTTGTATTCTTTTCTTGAAATTTCAAGATTCATATGCTGAAATTTCAAGTTAAAATCGTAAAATGTCAACTTATTATCTTGAAATTTCAATAAAATATTTATGAAGACCAAATGGTCCAAAAAGGCCCCCATACGTAGGTGATGCAAGTTACGAGCAAGTAGTAGTGGTGGCAAAATGTCAGCTTAGTATCTTGAAATTATAATTTATGTTTCTTGAATTTTCAACTTATGTATCTTGAAATGTCAACTTAGTATCTTGAAATTTCAAGAAGAAAAAGAAGAAGAAAACGGGCGACCCTAAAAAACGGTGGCCTTTTAGTGCCATTTGTTTTCCGTACCCCTAAAAGGCTTCCGTGATTTCTTATTTCCTTCATTTAAAATAATTGTATGCACATTGAGTGGTGGTGATTCCGGTAGGGCATGGCATACGTACCCTTTTCGCGAACACCTGGAGTCACCACCGATATTCAGTGATCCATTCATATATTTGTCACGGCTGTTTTGCCTTTTGCGACCAATTGAATCTGTTTCTGCATATAATTGTGAGATCCGTGAAGATCCGGGTGTAGAATATGTCTTCGGCAACCCATGTTTGCTGTAAGCAGTGACTATAGGCTTGTCGTATAAAGAGACAACTAACGGCATCAGGTGGTCAAGCTCGTTGACTTGGTTGAAGAATGTCGTCGTATCCCTATTGCGTAGATCGATGCTCATGATGTCAATCACTGGGTTTTCTTGTCCAGACTCCATAATTTACAGGCTGCCATCATATAGCTGGGACCCGAGAAGATCCGCGGTAAAATAAGTCTTCACCAGCCCATGCTTGCCATAAAAGGTGACTATGCTTGTCGTAAGAAGCGACTAACGGGATCGGATGGTCAGGCTCGCTGACTTGGTTGATGCATGTCATCGTTCCCAATTGCGTGGATCGATGCTCATGATGTCATCCACTGAATTGTCGGGTCCAGACTCGATTATTTACAGACCGCCGTCATATAGCTGGAATATTGCTGAAAGCAGCGTTAAACGACAAACAAACAAAGGGTACGATCAACAAAGATAATTGCGACTGTTTTTTTCTCTGGCTTTGACGGTCTATATAATACTCCCAGGTTATGTCATTTCTACATGCATACGTCATTGTGATTATTTGTGTGATATGTTGACAAGGACGCCCGGACTTCTAACTGAGCATAGTAATGCTACACTCTGATTGGCTAGTTCACATCAATTTGTCATCCTAACGCATTGTTGCAAATAGTTCTGGAGATGGGTCCACATCCATTGTTCATGACGTCACAAACGGTTAAATAGACGTCCTTTCAACAATCAATTGACTGTGATGATGTGATCCGGAAATCAACTATTATAAATTTTCTCAGAAAATAATTATAAGACAACATAGGCGGATCCAGAGGGGGGTCCATTGTTTTCCCTACTCCCCCTTTCGAAAACCAAATACAGTATGTTGTAGGTAGTAAACTTATCTGAGAGATATTTTTGTGTGTGTGTGTGGATCCACCCCTTTTATGCTGGCTCTGCCCCTGGACAAAGGGTTATATGCAGAATAGCATGGTAAGTTGGGATTGTGGATGGTTTGTTCCTCGTCCAATGATGTTAAAACACAACAGTAAACCACACGGGAAGGCATTTTGTCATAAAGCTCGTATGTTATTCTCTAAACATATATCGTTTAGATAAGAATTTTCTCATTTTAATTTCATTTTGAAATTAATCATCCATACATATCTGGTTTTGCTGCACTGAAACTATAATAGGGCATACTGAATGTAAGTGTGTTGGGTCTAAAGCCACTTTCAACAGTATTTTTGAGTCTATCACACCTGTAGGGATTCAGAGTAAAAACAATAGGCCTCCATGCAGCAACCAATGAGAGGCCGTAAATGGCCGGGTTCGCAGACTTGGTTCCTGACATGTCATCGAAATCCAGTTGTGTGGATCGAGTCGATCCATCGAATATGTACATACCACCGTCATATAGATGAACTCTCTTGGTTTAGGAAATAAATAACGCAACTATGCAAAGAGAATTGCGGCACATAGATGGCTGAGACACCTATGCCCACATATAGCCATTGTGTCCCTAGACTCTGCACACAGAATTTCCATCTGATTTTAAACATGGAGGTCAATACAACCGTATTGTAAACATCACTCTCTCCCATTAGTCATCCATTTATGAGTGAGTAATTATTTAACGCCGCATCGTCAATATTTAAGACGTATAGCGACGGGAATAAAAGCATTAATACAATACATGCATGCTACAGCAAGATTAATATCACAGATTCAATATAGAAAAAAACCCAGAAAAAACTAG